TAACAGTCCTATAATAAAAATCCTACTTAAGTGCATGCCAAAGTTCTTATGATTAACAGACACTAAACAAAAAATTTAATGTCTTTAGTTTTAGTCTTTGACAAATGGATTAAATCTGTCAACAATAAGCTTTCTGCATATGTTTATGGTAGTGTTTCTCAAATTTTTTGTTATTCCCCATTTTGGAAGCCGAATAACATTCAGGACCCACTTCTCCCTTCACATTTTCTTTTGTTTGTTTATTTTTATTTTAAAAAATACAGTCATTTATCTTAGATTCACTTGTGTTTTTTACTCTGGTTTTTCACACCACTGTTTTATTGAAATTGAAACGCTCTGAATTTTTGTTTATAAATTTAAACTGAAAAGAGTGAATAGTTGCATGTAGTTTGAGCTACATTAATGTTCATGAATGATCATCTGCTTGGAGGAAAGTGAGACGCAAACTATCTTTTAGCAATGAGCTCAGCACTGTATGTATGTTTGCAGCACCTTGAGACAAAGTAGGAGTACTGAATCCTTATTGGAAAGCCTTCTTTCCGGATGTGGATGGTCTCCAGCAACCCCGCATGCCTCAGCTGTGCTGACACATAGTCCACATCAAAGATACCAGGAAGCTGATAAGAAACATGTGAGAAGTAACACATGGTTTTACATTGTCTTGTAATTAAAAAAATCTCCAATTTCATGAATAGTAAGGGATGTCATAATACTACTTTAAGAGATTTTTATCCATTGTACCAATGTTTTGTTCCGATTTGTGATCCTAAATCTGAATCCTTCTAGAAAAACAAAAAAGGTTCAGAACCTAATTTATCTGGCTCCCACTGGGAACCAAATATTAATAGAATCTGGAAAATGAACTGTGATGACATCTGTGATGTGATGGCATGTCTTGTGAATGAAAAACGGAAAAGGTCTATTTAAATTTCACTGTAAATGTAAACTATGTCCTTCAAAAAAACCTATTTATTATGGTCATACAAGCATTACTGCTACATATTGGTAAACAGCAGAGTAGCTGACAAAAACTGGCATCTTGGTTTCATGGTCCCAGTTCTCAACATCTCAATCTAAGCATTACACACCTAGGAACAACTAGTGTAATTTCATGGCAACCCAATCCACAGGTTTCATCTTCAAATTGTTGACCTTCTTTAAACTTCTGAGCCCTGAGTTGTCAGTAATAATGATACCAACCCAAGTCTCTAACCCTAACATAAACCATTACTAGACAAGCAAATAGTACTTTTTTGAGGGAAAAAAGTAAAGTAAAGTAAGCAATTTTTTTGTTCATTATTCTAAATAGGGTTAGAATTAGGGTTAGGGTCCTCAGGGATGATTTAGACCTCATGACTTAGGGCAGTGTAGAAATTGTTCTACATTACACATATGTCACAAGTTAATGGAAAAGAAATATGTTTATTACTGTAAAACTGGTCTTGTTACCTTGACATAGTTTGGCTTCAGACAATGAATGAAGGAAGTTTTGCATCTAGAATATCAAAGAAAAATACAGGCACAGGTTATTCCTGAAGGCAGAGTTAAAATCAAGAAAGCCTGAACTGCAAATGTTTTTAATAATAAATCCTCTATTTTGTGTTGACATCAGTGTCTACCGTTTGTTTACCTGTCAAAAAAGTTGCTGTATAATCATAACTAAACTTGTATCAAATGAATCTGTCAAAACTATTTAATATATGCTTCAAAAATGATTTTTGCCTGAAAGATTAACAATGGCTTTTACTGGCATTGAGACATAGGGTCAACAGTAAATGAAGACAGCACTACGAATGGAACCCATTTGCTAAAACTGTATTTTCTACACAAGCAGTGAAAAAGTTTCCCTTCTGATGATACTGAGCTGGCTTCCAAACAAATCCACAGTTTTGATAATGATGCTCTGTATCAGCCAATTTCCTCTGTTGGTACCTCTCCAAGCGGGTGGTAAGTTCAGTCAAGGACTGGAGGAAATGCGAAGCAGCAGTAGTGGACTGTTGGCGTTGGCCCCTCCTCTTCCAGCCCAACTCTGTCTGCTGAACATAACTGTCCTGAACCTTCTGGAACAGCTCTGACACCATCTGTGGCCATATAAAAGTTATAATGTATAAATATCCCTATAAAATATGCAATTTATCTGTAGGTGCTTGATTCTACATATGAAAAACAGTTTAAATCTTGGAACATTGTAATTCTCACCCATTCTGGTGAGAACTGTTATGAGAATAGGCTTTATATCTAAATACAAAGTGTTCCCTCAGTTGGAAAGCCAGCTGTCTCATAACTTTTAGTTAGAGCCTACACCACCCACCAAACATCAAAGATGTCCTTTATTGGACTAAATTTGGTCAGCTCTATCAGTTATGCCCTTTAAAAAGACTTCAAGACTTTGTTGATATTTGGTTATAAACTAAAAGGATGCTGGAATAATATCTAGCATCAGCCGCTGATGAAAAAGAAAGGTGGGCAGTGAGTGAGGACAGACAGTGATGAGCATCAGAATATTTGGATGTTGACCCCTTTTAAGGGCACATTGTCTCTTTTAAGGAACAATAAGGTAAATATCAAACTAGCAATAAGATTGTTTACATTTATCTCTCAGTGCAGTCGACTTTAATCTGTTAAAATTAGATTGAAAATATCAGAAAACTTCTAATTTTATGGATGAACGTGTTGCAGCCAATTACTGTATAAAAGATGGAGGACACTGTTTCCATTACTCCCACTGTGCAAAAGCAAAGCCAAAATGTCCCTGCAATCTTGCATTTTTGTATGGACAGTAGTGACTGGGGATACACTCAGTGTCAAACTCCCACCCACACACCCACAGGATGTGACCGTGAACAATTCTTCACAGCTGTGTTACTACCATAGTCAATTTTTATGAATAGTAAGTCACTATCCTTATTTTAGACAAAGATATGCCATCAGCAGCCCAGTTATTGTAAAAAACAAACTAAAAACCAGCAACAAACAACTTAAACAAAAGATCACAAAGAAAGAACAATACAGTATCCACATCTGAACCAAAGAGTAAACCAGTGAAATGTGGATTATTAAATATTAGGTCTCTCTCCTCCAAGTCTCTGTTAGTACATGACTTAATAATTGATCAACAAACTGATTTACTCTGCCTTACAGAAACCTGGTTACAGCAGGATGATTATGTTAGTTTAAATGAATCAACACCCCCGAGTGACTCTAACTCTATGAATTGAATTCAAAATCCTGCTCCTCACATACAAAGTCTTAAATAATCACTGTTTTAGATACGGGCGACACGGGCGGTTGCCTGGGGCGGCATCACGGGCATTGGCAAAAAAACGGGCATCGGTAAAAAAAAAATGCTCGTACTCGTGCTGCCCCGACGTCATGCCAGCGCATATTGGGAATGGCATAGGCACCGATCGGTTTTCTATCGCCCATTTGCTGGGAGTAAGGGCGCCCTTCGTTTGCGAGGTGCGCCTGCTGCTTGCGGCACAGGGAGGAGAGGGGCGGCGGGGGATTTTCTGACCGGCAGGAGCAGCATCTAATAACCAACTCGCGAAGTAAGACAAAATAAAAACAAACCAACAAACGCGAAAACACCAAACATTTTCATTTATATTCAACTTACTCTTATTTGCTGTGTGATTTCCCTACAAGTAGAGAGTAGCCATACTTTTATGAATGGGTAGTATATACACCCTGTTTGACTCCAATGTCACGTGGTTTACCTTACTGCGACTCCTGGCAAATAGCTCCACCACTTCTGTCCTAAACTGGTCGTGGTTCTTATTCAGGAAATGATGAACCTGGAAAAAGATGGTTATATTATTTTTTTTAAATTAAACATTAATACGCACACTGTATACAACAGGGTGGTCAATACCTGATAAGTGACAGGTCCAGCATAGTGGTAAATAGTGAAGACTGGCAAAGGGTTCCTGGGCTTGGCATAGTAGAGGCTGTTTCCATGATGGTAGTGGCACTTCTGGAGGAATGTGTGGTCAGTGGCCTGTCAGTGACATACCCCCACAACCATCCCAGAAGAACAATTAAGCTTTACTTCAAAGTTTAAAAAAAACACACACAGATGTAGAGAAAAAGGAAAAAGCACTAGAGATTGTGTACAAAAGATAGGAGCACCTTGAAACATGAAGCTAATGTGAATGCCTTTTTACCTGGATTCTTTTTAACAGTCACCAGGGCAACTGCTCTGGTTGCAAAAAGCTATCCCACTATTCACTGGTTATTCCAGGCAATTCTGTTAAAGGAGGTCTGTGGAATCTCTGCAGAGGCCCCTTTACAGCAGTGTTGATTGTATTAGCGTGCACCTCTTGCTTGCACACACTGTGCAAGCTAGCACCGGACAAAACAGTTATGAAGATTGCACTGTATGTGCTATATGTCATGTATCTTGTAGCCTTGTAGCCTATTGCACTTGTAACTCGTTTTTGTTGTTGTCACATTTAATTTGAATAGATTAGAATATTAATTTATGTTCCACATTACAGTTTGCAATATTATTATATAATTTTTGCCTAATTGAGTTTATTATATAATTAAATGCTTCATTATTATTTTTCTCAGAATTTTATGTGTTATATTTAAGTTGTTTACTATGCCACGCTGTGAGAAGTAATTTTATTTCATACCTGGCTTTATTTACAGTGGGATGTTTTTAAGAGTAACATGCTCCTTCCTCCTCTTTCACCTAGATGTGAAAACTAGATGTGAGAGGGAACCACTTAAATACAGAGTCTTTGTCACATAATGGACTTTTGTTGCATATGGCCAGACCCTTATGTCTTTCTCTTTTAAAATGTTTGGTTCATGACACCTTTTGTTAACTGTTCACATATACATTACTGCTGTTTCACTAGAAATGATTTTTGAACATTTTCTGAATCATTTGTTCTACGTTATACGGCCTATCTTGAGGTTTCATGTGCACTATTTTGTTTGCAAGTTAAAATGAGGAAATTTCTACTTTAAGCAAAGGAAGGTTTTGCACTATTATTTCATGATTTTGCATACTTGATATTATATATTTAACTAATTCATTAATATTTACCTTTAGGTATTTATTATGGGATGCGTAGGAGGTAATTTTGGTTCCTACCTGGCAGTGTTTACAGTGGGACTCTTTACCGGATTGTAACATGGTCTCAGTATCATGTGTGTCAGGGAGATGAAAGGCAGACATGTGGGGGGGAAAGGGGGGGATGAGGTGCACAGTTCTGGACTATATACATATGAAGAGTAACTCAGTATTAAAAAATATCAAATATATAAATATCAGAAAAAAATTGTGTTTTATATTTACAGTGTGGGTTATGGGACATAAATTAAATCTTGCACAGTGGTGATGGTAGTTTGTGTAGTCTATGTATAGAAGTCCTATATGGTACAAAACCACTGCCAAGCAGCTGGGTGAGACCGTGACAACAACTGGTGCGATTATTCGTAAGTGGAAGAGTCATAAAATAACTACCAACCACCCTCAGTTTGGAACTCTACGCAAGATCTTACCTTGTGGAGTTTCAATGGTAATGAGAACTGTGTGGAACCAACCCAGAACTAATCGGGAAGAACTTGTTAATGATCTCAAAGCAGCTGGGACCATAGTCACCAAGAACACAGTTGGTACCACACTACG